AAAAAAAAAAAAAAAAAAAAAAAATCAGCCGAAGCAGCCTATATTTTTGTCAATAAAAAAAATATGATAATCTAACCGCAAATGTCGGAGGAACTCCAGCCGCCTTCCCTCTTCTCTCTTCCCCGTGTGACATGGTTAAGAGCCATACCGCCCGCAGAAGCGCCGCGAATAGCCTCGAAGCGCCAAGAAGTGAAGCGCCCATGTTAACCGATTGTGTCATCCACACCGGCCGCGCCGCGCAGCTCCGCCGCCAGCCCTGCAGCAATCATTTCAGCGTCTGGTCTATTTTCTGCGCGAGCCTCGAGCAAATGTGTCAAGCTGGGTAGTTACCCATGATGGAAAAACAGCCCCAAATGTGACGGAGACAACACCTGGGAGCAGAACCGCTTGTCGACCAGCGTGGAGAAATGCGCGTCTGCTGTGAACGGAAGTGCTCTGGCCTGCGGGAGAATTTCAGTGCGCTGCGCTTCGCAGGCAGGCCAGGCCCTGGCGTTATGGGCGGTTTTCCAAGACCACTGTCGGCACAATGAATATAACAGCCGGGCTCCACCGGGCACGTCAGCGGCACGACACGTCTGTAGCGCGAGTCCCGTAGCAGCTCGCCCCCCGTGATATGTGATGATTTTTTTTCCTGCATTTACCCATGTTTATCCGTGACATTGTGTTAATGTCCGTGGCGGACATTTGAAAGCGAGTAGATGACAAACAGTACAGTAAACTTGTAGATAACTCAAATATATGTAATAACTTAGGTGGAAAATGCTTTAACATTTCATGCAACCTACATGCAGCCTCTCGGCTCGGCAAACGGTAAACAACCCCGCTGGCTTCTCTACGTGTCGCTTCCATACGCAGTCAGTGGAGCCCAAATGAATACGCCGCGACGCTAGGCTGACGTGACGCTTACGTTTGCAGCCGGTGGAGCCCAGCCGTTAAGTCCCACTGCTGGCAGCGTGGAAATAAGTCAAAGTGTGGAGGAGATGGACCGGGAAAAGCGGCGGACCTCCGGGGAGGCCTGCTCCGTTCTCCCCGCAGTTAGGGACCGTTCGCCACGGTACCGCTGCTGGGCAGGGTGGAAATAAGTCCTGCAGAGTTTCAGAGGACCTGGAGAATGCTTTAGGATAGTAATAACATTATATAAAGATAATCATATTGCAAAGATAATATATATATTAGATAATAACATTAAAGACAAAATTAAATTGCAATACTTCTTCAAAACTTGATGATTTTACCTTTCTGTACATTTTGTATACAAATTCATTCAATAATTTTGCTTGTAAATGTCTATTTGCATCACGTTTATTACGGAAAACACATTATTTGATCAATTTACATTGTGCCCCGAAAGTTCTTTGTGCGCTCCTTACTTTTTCAACTTAGGAGCACATGTGCTCCTTGGGAAAAAAGTTAGCGTCAAGCCCTGTAACCAGTGTTAACCAGTCTAAAGTTAACCTGTCTAAAGTTAACAGTCAAAAGTTAACCAGTGTTAACCAGTCTAAAGTTAACCAGTGTTAACCAATCTAAAGTTAACCAGTGTTAACCAATCTAAAGTTAACCAGTGTTAACCTGTCTAAAGTTATCCAGTCTAAAGTTAACCAGTGTTAACCAATCTAAAGTTAACCAGTGTTAACCAGTCTAAAGTTAACCAGTGTTAACCAATCTAAAGTTAACCAGTGTTAACCAGTCTAAAGTTAACCAGTGTTAACCAATCTAAAGTTAACCAGTGTTAACCTGTCTAAAGTTATCCAGTCTAAAGTTAACCAGTGTTAACCAGTCTAAAGTTAACCAGTGTTAACCAATCTAAAGTTAACCAGTGTTAACCAGTCTAAAGTTAACCAGTGTTAACCAATCTAAAGTTAACCAGTGTTAACCTGTCTAAAGTTATCCAGTCTAAAGTTAACCAGTGTTAACCAGTCTAAAGTTAACCAGTGTTAACCAATCTAAAGTTAACCAGTGTTAACCAGTCTAAAGTTAACCAGTGTTAACCAATCTAAAGTTAACCAGTGTTAACCTGTCTAAAGTTATCCAGTCTAAAGTTAACCAGTGTTAACCAGTCTAAAGTTAACCAGTGTTAACCAATCTAAAGTTAACCAGTGTTAACCAGTCTAAAGTTAACCAGTGTTAACCAATCTAAAGTTAACCAGTGTTAACCTGTCTAAAGTTATCCAGTCTAAAGTTAACCAGTGTTAACCAGTCTAAAGTTAACCAGTGTTAACCAATCTAAAGTTAACCAGTGTTAACCAGTCTAAAGTTAACCAGTGTTAACCAATCTAAAGTTAACCAGTGTTAACCTGTCTAAAGTTATCCAGTCTAAAGTTAACCAGTGTTAACCAGTCTAAAGTTAACCAGTGTTAACCAATCTAAAGTTAACCAGTGTTAACCAGTCTAAAGTTAACCAGTGTTAACCAATCTAAAGTTAACCAGTGTTAACCTGTCTAAAGTTATCCAGTCTAAAGTTAACCAGTGTTAACCAGTCTAAAGTTAACCAGTGTTAACCAATCTAAAGTTAACCAGTGTTAACCTGTCTAAAGTTATCCAGTCTAAAGTTAACCAGTGTTAACCAGTCTAAAGTTAACCAGTGTTAACCAATCTAAAGTTAACCAGTGTTAACCAGTCTAAAGTTAACCAGTGTTAACCAATCTAAAGTTAACCAGTGTTAACCTGTCTAAAGTTATCCAGTCTAAAGTTAACCAGTGTTAACCTGTCTAAAGTTATCCAGTCTAAAGTTAACCAGTGTTAACCAGTCTAAAGTTAACCAGTGTTAACCAATCTAAAGTTAACCAGTGTTAACCTGTCTAAAGTTATCCAGTCTAAAGTTAACCAGTGTTAACCAGTCTAAAGTTAACCAGTGTTAACCAATCTAAAGTTAACCAGTGTTAACCAGTCTAAAGTTAACCAGTGTTAACCAATCTAAAGTTAACCAGTGTTAACCTGTCTAAAGTTATCCAGTCTAAAGTTAACCAGTGTTAACCTGTCTAAAGTTATCCAGTCTAAAGTTAACCAGTGTTAACCTGTCTAAAGTTATCCAGTCTAAAGTTAACCAGTGTTAACCAGTCTAAAGTTAACCAGTGTTAACCAATCTAAAGTTAACCAGTGTTAACCTGTCTAAAGTTATCCAGTCTAAAGTTAACCAGTGTTAACCTGTCTAAAGTTATCCAGTCTAAAGTTAACCAGTGTTAACCAGTCTAAAGTTAACCAGTGTTAACCAATCTAAAGTTAACCAGTGTTAACCTGTCTAAAGTTATCCAGTCTAAAGTTAACCAGTGTTGAGCAGTCTAAAGTTAACCAGTGTTAACCAATCTAAAGTTAACCAGTGTTAACCAGTCTAAAGTTAACCAGTGTTAACCAATCTAAAGTTAACCAGTGTTAACCTGTCTAAAGTTATCCAGTCTAAAGTTAACCAGTGTTAACCTGTCTAAAGTTATCCAGTCTAAAGTTAACCAGTGTTAACCAGTCTAAAGTTAACCAGTGTTAACCAATCTAAAGTTAACCAGTGTTAACCTGTCTAAAGTTATCCAGTCTAAAGTTAACCAGTGTTAACCTGTCTAAAGTTATCCAGTCTAAAGTTAACCAGTGTTGAGTCTCACCGTTTAGAGACGGAGCTTCTGGCCGTGCTGCCGCTGCTCTCGCTTCCCTTCAGAGCAGCTGTGGATGAAGCTGCTGCTGCTGAAGGGTCCATGTTCTGGGAGGAGGCCATGATACTGCTGGAGACAGACAGACAGACGGTCAGACAGACAGACAGACACAGACAGACAAGGTCAGACAGACAGACAGAGTCAGACAGACAGACAGACAGACACAGACAGACAAGGTCAGACAGACAGACAGACAGACAGACAGACAGACTTTGAGATAGGCAGACAGACAGCAGATAAACTCGGTGTTGTCGTTGGCCAACAGCAGCTCCACGTTAGCTAACAGTAACGTTACTAAATGTAACACTGAAGAATATTCACCGGTTAAACTGAGACACACAGTCCGCTGTTAACGGTCCGGTAACCGTACGGTCGTTAACAGAAGCTTGTTTTGCTCCGGTGGTCTTTTAGCTTCATGCTAACGATAGTTAGCCTGTATACACACACACACACACACACACACACACACACACACACACACACACACACACACAGTCATAACGATAGTTAGCATTAGCTGAGCCGGCTAACGGAGATTAGTTCCGCCGTTAGCCTGTTTGTTATTTAGAGCCCAAATAAACACCAACAAGTAAACAAACAACAAACACGTCGAGGTGAGTGAAACAGGTGAAGCGTTTACCTGCGGGACTCTCCGTGTGTCAGTGTGTTAGCTCTCCGTTAGCTGCCGTTCAAACTGAATTCACTCCCGCCCCCCGGTTTAAACCGGCTCTTCCTAACACTGATAGCCAATCAGCACCCGACCTTCAAATACAAACCACCTCCTGTTAACCAATGAGAGAGGCGCGGACGGAGGAGACGGCGTTGTGATTGGGCAGCAGGAACGACATTTAATGTTGACGTCAGAGTCAATACAAACCATTCCAAAGGAAACTTTATGAGTTTTTGTAACGGAAACAATTTTTAAATCTCTGTTCACGTGTTCTTTGAATTGTTTATTAATTTATGTTTGCATGTACGTACACACACACACACACACACACACACTATCATAATCTTGACACAGACTGTTTATTAGAGAGATACAGATTCACACAGACTGTGTCAGTAACAGGCTGTAGATTAATGGCGGAAACAGACTTGCGGTCCGAGAGTCAGATTCAGTGTTCACACAGTCCTGACTGTGACCAGCAGGTGGCGCTGATGCATCTTACTGTGAAGGCCTTCAGTCAGTTCAGTGTGAGTGTGGCAGTTTGGAAACAGTGCGTCATGTTGTGTTTCTATGCAACAAATATAAGAGTGAAAGACACAGTTGAACAAAGAGCTTTCAGATTTGGGTCCTGCTGTGTTTTCTCTGAAATCCATTTTTGGAGCTGAACAGAACATCGAATATAGAAAAGCAGTTTTAAAGAAAAACTTCGATGATTTGGGAGTTATGCCCTTTAATAAATGTTTCAGTCACGCCAGGATTAGTGATTGCTGCTAAGTTTTCACTCCTTGTGATGCACTCTCTGCGGCGGTTTTCCTCCTGATGATGATGATATATCTCCCCAACGATGGTAGCACCGAGTCCCATTCTGTGCAGCAAAATGATTCCACCTCCATAGGCATAGGTTGGCAAGCCCCGCAGCTACACCACCAATCCTCCCCTGACCTCCGTTTCCCCTCGGCCCCTTGCTGTTCCGCTGCCTCGGAGGATTCAGCCTCTCTTCTCGCCTGCTCAGCATCAAACACATGGAGATCCTCATCTGTATGCTCCAGCTCAAACAGGTATGGCTCTGGATCTGTGTCCGCTACAAGCAACTCTTCAAAATCGCGTTCAAAGTCGTCCATTGCAGCTACTATAGCCCAGAGATATAGTTAGGCTAAATAAACAACTGAGTTTTGTTTACAGGCTACGTCTGTGCCTGTGCCTGCTCACCGGTGTATCCCTCCGCTGTTCACAGCGCAGGGCGTAAACACACTATAGTTCCGTGTATCAAACTTCTTCTAAAATGACTAAAAAGGACTCGTTTTTCGAATTAATGTTTAAACATGTTTATTTTAAATGTACATGCAGAAATGCCAGCTTCAGGGTTTCTGTAACGTTTATCTGTTCACTTTTACGAGTAGGCTATTGACCCCCTATAGACTTCAATAGTATTCGCTAAGCTAAGCCGCAGTGCTAACCACTGAGACCCAGCCACTGGACGTACAGACACAAAAAAGATATCCATCATGTTGTCTCAATATGAAAGTGATAGAGAAAGGGCAGAACTCCTAAATCATCAGAGTATTCCTTTAAAGTTCCTAAATTCATCTGGACTCTATGTGAGAATAACGGTTAGGTTTGGCCTGTGGAGGGCAGCATTACGCTTCTTTGCATACAGCCTGCCGGAATTCTATTAGAAGAAGAAGAAAAACTGGGAGGAAGTGGTGTTGTTTTGGAGTTTTTTGTTTTGTTTTTGTGAATATTAATTTATCCAGACCCACACTCCATTTCGGTAGGAGGCGGTAATGCTTCCATACATTGTTTGCCAACCGCCATAAAACTAGAAGAAGAAGAAGAAGAAGAAGAAGAAATGATGAGGCACGGGAGACGGGAGCGAGTGGACGAATTGTTTGGAAGGAGAGGTTTGGTGGTTGTGCATAAACTGATCTGTGAATGGGCTAGGATGGCGGGGAATACTGATTGGGAGAGTGGGAGTGAGGATAATGATGCAAGTGACTGGAATGTAGTATGGAATAAGAGAAAGGAGCGTAGTGGAAGTAGTAGTAGTTATGATGAGAGAGAGGAAGGGAGGGTGGCGAAGAGGAGGATTGAGGCGAAAGATGAGTTTAAAGTGATTTTGAGGTTCAAGGAAGGGCAGGATATAAGGAAAGTTAGTCCGGTGGAATGAACTCGCTGGTTGAAGGAGAAGATTGGCGAAATTGTGGCAGCGAAAGTGTTGAGTGATGGCGGACTGTTCATGAAGTGTGAAGATGAGGGGCAGAGAAAGAAAGTAATGAAGTTGACTAAAGTGTGCAAAAAAGTGGTGGAAATAGCCAAGAAGAGAGGCGATGGTCGCTTTGTGAGAGGGGTTATCTATGGTATCCCTGTGGAAGAAAAGTTGGAGGATTTGAGGGCAAACATAAGAGGTGGTAAAGTTATTGGCATAAAACATCTGCAAACAAGAAGGGGAGGAGAGAGAGTGGATAGTTTGTCAGTATTGTATCCCATTTTGGAAAATGGTGGGGTCCTGGCTATTGAAGGCCAAGCAAAAGCAGATATGTTAGCTAAGGCTTTGGTTGAGGTCCATAGCTCTGGAAATATGTCTGAAGAGGGGAGAAAAGGAAGACAGGAAACAAGTGAAGAATATAAAGAGTTGATGGAAAGGGAGGAAGAGAAAGATGATGCAATTAAGGCTCCCTTTACATTGGAAGAAATGAAAAGGGCTTTAGGTAAATGAGGACTAACTGCTCTGGGAAAAGATCAGATATGCTATACCATGTTGAGCCATATGTCTGACAAATCATTAGAGGTCATATTACATTTATATAACAAGATTTGGCAGGAAGGGAAATTACCTCAAAGTTGGAAACATGCAGTTATAGTACCAATCAGGAAACCTGGAAAAGATCCTACTAATCCAAGTAACTATAGACCAATTGCACTGACGTCTCATATGTGTAAAGTCATGGAGCGTATGATCACTGAAAAGCTAACATATTATTTGGAAATAAGAAATCTTAGATCACAACATCAAAGTGGTTTTAGGAAAGGAAGGGGAACAATGGATCCAATACTATGTCTAGAAACAGAGGTGAGGAAGGCACAAGTCAATAAGGAGGTGGTGGTAGCAGTATTTTTTGATGTTGAAAAAGCGTATGACTTATTGTGGAAAGAAGGTTTATTGATTAAAATCAAAAGTTTAGGTATAACAGATAAAATGTTCAGATGGGTGAAGGAATCTTTGTATGAACGTTCTATAGAGGTGAGGGTGGGGAAAACATTTTCAGCAAGGTATGGTGTGGATAATGGCACACTGCAAGGAAGTGTCATAAGTTCGTTGTTATTTTCAATAATGATTGATGATGTATATGAAGATATTGGCCAAAGTACAGGGAGATCTCTGTTCGCTGATGATGGAGCATTATGGAAAGAAGAAATGTGAAATATGTAGTCAAACAGTTGCAGGAATCAATTAAAAGAGTGGAGCAGTGGTCATTGGAATGGGGATTTAACTTTTCCGTTGAGAAAACAAATACTCTTTTCTTTGCAAGGATGAAAATTGAACCAGAAGTCAAACTATATTTGTATGGCAAGGAGCTGAAAAGGGTGGAGTCATTCAAATTACTAGGAGTGTGGTTTGATTCAAGGCTCACCTGGGAAGTACATATTGATCAAATTGGTGATGAATGTAAAAAGGTTATAAATGTCATGAGGTGTTTAATGGGTACAGAGTGGGGAGCTGACAGGTCTTCTTTGAAAGCTATATATACAGGTTTAATAAGATCAGTGCTGGACTATGGGTGTGTCGCATTCAGGCTCAAGCACTGAGGGTATGTTGTGGGGCTTTCAAAACTACATCTGCAGGTGGGAATGATGGAGATGCCACTGGAATTAAGAAGACAGCAAATCATGATGACGTACTGGGCAAATTTGCAAAGTCACAATAATCATCCAACACTAAATACAACTGAGCCATGCTGGGAACATGGGAAAAAGCAAATGAAAAGCTTTGGATGGATTGTTGAGAGGAGAGCAAGGGAGATGGCAATACTGGATTTGAGTTTTTCGCCAAATGTTGTGTTGCCAGCTGTTCCACCTTGGCTACTGCCACAGGCAGAGGTAGATCTGAGCCTCCTGGATTGGGAAAAAGAAGAACAAGAGAAAAATACTAATAGTCTAAATTCATACATTAGAAAGAAATACTATGGTCATTTACATATATATACAGATGGTTCAAAAGATCCAGAGACAGGCAGAACAGCAGCGGCAGAAGTCATCCCTGAAGTGAATGTGGTAAGCAGGAAGAGACTCTCAGATGAATTATCTGTCTTTACAAGTGAAATGATGGCTATAATAACTGCATTGCAGTGAGTAGAAGACAGCAGGCCAGAAAGAGCATTGATACTTTCAGATTCAGCAGCAGCATTAAAAAGTTTATTTTATTTCAACACCACATGCAGAGAAGACTTATTATTTGAAATAATGATGTCATTATTTAGAATCAAGCATATGCACTTGTCTGTCAGTTTTGTGTGCTTTCCTGCACACATCGGGAGGGATTGAAGGGAATGAGAGGGCAGATGGAGCAGCCAGAGGAGCTTTGAGGAGTGAGCATAAACTCCATGTAAATATTAGCAATCAGAAGTCAAGGGGGTGATACAGAGACAGATCAGAAAGAGGTCGCAAAATGAATGGAACAAGGAGAGTAAAGGACGGTACCTTTTCAGACATAAAGCAGTAGTTGTAGTAGTAGTGCAGCAACAGGACCGATGGGAGAGTTATGACCAGATTGAGGAATGGGCATACCGGGTTAAACAGTTCTTTATTTTTAATCAAAAAACATGATACAGGAAAGTGTGAACATTGTGGAGAGGAGGAAACAGTGGACCATATTCTATTATACTGCCAAAGACACGTAACAGAGAGAGCTGCGTTAAAGGAGGAAATAAGAAAACTAGGGGAAGTCACTATCATTAATATATTACGAAAATCTTCAGGTGACGACTGCTGGAAACAGCTAATGAATGTTTTAAAATCAACTAGATTAATGAAGAGAATATCAGGCCGGGTTATTTGATGTTAAGTGAATTTTGTTTGTTTTCTTTGTTTTGTTTGACATACAGTACAGGCCAAAAGTTTGGACACACCTTCTCATTCAATGCGTTTTCTTTATTTTCATGACTATTTACATTGTAGATTCTCACTGAAGGCATCAAAACTATGAATGAACACATGTGGAGTTATGTACTTAACAAAAAAAGGTGAAATAACTGAAAACATGTTTTATATTCTAGTTTCTTCAAAATAGCCACCCTTTGCTCTGATTACTGCTTTGCACACTCTTGGCATTCTCTCCATGAGCTTCAAGAGGTAGTCACCTGAAATGGTTT